AATTAAATATAGCATATGTAAATATAATATATTTAATTATATCCACAAATTATCTAGTTCAGAATTCTAAACTTTAAATTACCCTACATGTGTTAGAGCAGAGAAACAAGTAAAACCTGCGGAGCTGCGGACCTTGAGGACCAGGACTGACTATCCCGATATACATGTATAGCCAAAAAAGAAAATTACAACCAGTCTTCTATTCTGAAACTGTAGACACAGGGAAGCTTTGTCAGTTCAACATGTTTGGACAAGTGTGGTATTCAAAGCTTTATAGACTTTTATGAAGATTTATAAAGCCTAGAACTCAGAGCAGAAGTCCAGTTGTTTGTTTTAAATCTTTTTATCATGAGGATGACAGAATCTTCACCAACATTATAAATATAAAATTTGGCAGCACAGTGTAGGGCTGTTTTTTCTCAGCCAAATGGTTGCTGGATCAAATCCCAACCTGGGACCTTTCTGGGTGGTGTTTATGGTACGTTCCCTTTACATTGTAYTCCTAGAACTGATAAATGGTAGTGATGTCATTTCCCAATAAACCATATGAAACTGCATTCTAGTTAGCTGACAGATGATTGTATTGCAGCTAACCTAGCTACAACACTGCTACAATATAAACAATGACAAAAAGAGAGCTCTACTACATACATCATGCAAATAAACATTGATTTTAATAAGCACAGTATTGCACAGAAAACACTTGTGCGAGTGATTAAACATGCACAAACAAATTAAGCAAGATAATTAACAGTAAAAGTTAGAGTTAACTTTCTAAAGCTGCGAGTAGCTGTCATCTTGAATTCGAAACAGGGGGCAGTTTCATTTCTTCCACTATACGAGTGGAATATTACCACTGGAGGGGGCGTTCCAGTTTAAATCTACCAATGGGAAGAGGAAAATTACCACTTCCCAGGACTACTGGAACGCAGCTTTACATGTTCTCCCTCTGCATGAATTTTACCCCAGTTCTCTCTCACAGACCAAAAACATTTGGTGCACACTGAAGGTTTGAAACAAATGCTTGCTTTGTAAATGTTATTATTATTATTATTTTTTTTWAAATCATGTTCAAATCTGAGTAACTCAGTGGATCTTAATTCCGGTCCTCGTGACCCACTACCCTGCATGTTGGCTACTAGAGAAATCAACCATAACAACACAAAATGGCTGTAACTCAGTCAAAGTTACAAATACTGGGCAAAAATCTGATGGGGTAGCAGCTGAGACTGGTCTTGCAACATCAAATGAGATCAGGTGCAGCTTTGTTTCCAAGGTCCTCATAAGATGATGTTTGTGGTATAAAAATGGTGGGTGCTGATAGGATTATCATATGAGGCAGCAGCTTCAACACAACCGTCACGTTACCTCTGCAGACTTATGAGACTCAGCTGACATGTAGACACATACCTTCTCTGTCCAGCCATTGCTTGCGCTGGCGGTAGAGCAGCAGCTTGTTGTGGACATACGGCAGCAGAAACTTGACACACCAGCTCTCAACACCCAGCTTGTTCTCCACCAGAACAATAGGACTGCGGTTGTAGCGGGCCTCAGGACACTGGATGAACCCAATCTCATCACTGAGGAGACAGAAAACAAAAATGAGGACGACTTTAAGAAACAGTTTTCTGTTTATGTCTGAGAAAACATTCAGGTACATGTAGCTCAACCCCCTCCTAAGAATTCATTCATAAAAAAAACAGCAGCTTGCCTTAAAGTCAAAACTCCTGAGAGAACGGCTCCAATCACTGTTACCTGCTGCAGGTTCTTTCATAACTGGAGCTGAATAGTGACGTATCAGCAGGAGGGGTGCAAATAGGCAAAATATTTCTTGTTGATTTCCATAGACGTTTAAGAAAATCTGGACAAACTGGGGAGTTTTGGAAATTGGAAACATCTCATGGGACTGACAGAAACTGGAAACTAGTGGTAGTTTAAACAAACTGCACCGTAACTAAACAAAAAGATTAGGGCTGCAACAACGAATCGATAAAATTGATATTATTAAAAATGTTGGCAACAAATTTCATTACGGTTTCRTTGTGTTGGGCGATTTATGGTGTATTAATATAAGATTTAAGTTTTAATTTGTTGACAATGTCTGAGTGAAGACACTTGCAACAAGGCATTTATTGAATTCTTATAATAAGCAGCTGTCCGGACGGAAAGTCTTAACATGATCGTCTCTGACATAAGACTGCCCATGGTCAAACATAAAGACGTCACTCTGTTAGTTCAGTTTTATTTCAGGTTATACGCTTCCCTCAAGGACACATTTTACAAAGCTCATGGAGAGAAAATATGAAGAGACTTTTAAAGATAGAAGAACTGAAGCTTCTCTGTGACTCAGTTCACTGTGAAGCTTCATGGAGGCTGTTTCACAATAAACTACAGCGGGTAAAATAAGTATTGAACACGTCAACATTTTTTTCAGTAAATATATTACTAGAGGTGCTAATGACATGAAATTTTCACCAGATGTTGGTAACAACCCAAGTGATCCATACATACAAAGAAATCAAACCATAAATGTCCAGAAATGGTTATTTGTACTGATGCATCTCAGTAATCCAGGTAAAAAACCAAAAGGAAAAAAATAGTATAGGTCCTCTGGACGGGTT